GTTCAGATATGGAAGAACTCGGGACTTAAAATAAGTGGTAAGATATCGGACCTTCTTAATAGAACCTTCATTGCTTTGCCCTCCCTGCTACCAGCTATTGCTTCACAACAACCTAAATGCAGGCAAGACTTAAAAATGTGCATGCTAATCAGGGTCTTGATAAGGAATGCAACACCACTACCGCAAAGACTGGTGGATGGCACCCAAACTTAATACAACTGTAATCTTAAAGATGAGACTGAGACAATAAATAGGTAGACATAATTCCATTAATAAGGCTGTGCATATTCAAGAGATATAAGCCACAATATCACAACAAAAGGTTGAGAGAACAAAATTTTGATTTGTCAATTATATTCAACTATGAAGACTTCGGACATTCAAGCCCCCTGTTCTGAAGTTTCAGGAACAGTTCACAGAAGTAAACTGTGTGGCTGGCAAGACAGTGGCACAGGTTGCCCAAAGAAGTGGTAAATGCTCCCTCCACCTCTGGCAGTGTGTTCAAGGCCATGCTGGACAGAGCCTTGCGCGACATGGTTTAGTGTGAGGTGTCCCTGCCCATGGCAGGGGGGTTGGAACTAGATGATCTTACGGTCGTTTCCAACCCTAAGCATTCTATGAGTCTAGGTTTACAGCAATCTCCACATCAGTGGACTTCATGGCTAAAATAACTTGATAGATTTTAGAGTGCTTATCTTCACGGACAATGGAAAAACTTTTCTTCCCCCACCCTGAACAGGGTTTAATTCTTTGTACTTCCTATCTGTCTCTGTGTCCATTTGACTAGTTCCTTTTACATACCTAATATATGTTTGATACATCTAAATTGCCTGCTTATGTGCAAGAAGCATCTGGACAATGCTCTGAGAGGTATGGTTTAATTTTTAGGCTGCCCTGTGTGGAGTCACAAGTTGAGCTCAACCCTTGCAGATCTCTTCTGGCCCAAGGGATTTCAATGACTTATGTGGGAAGGACACACAATATTGTATAACATTACTCTTGTAAGAGTTCAAATTTCAAACTATCTCATTATTGAACTAAGTTCATACAATTCGTTTTTTTCTCATTTGGAATTATGTTCAGGATATTTATGAAATTAATAAATGAAGTAACAGCCAGAGTTTCAAAATGTCAAGTACTTCACCTTGCCTAGAACTGATGGGAAAGCCAAACTAACCATTTACAGTTTTTTCCTAATACCTTTAACTTTGTGAATTTGTTCTTACTCAAGAAATAAAATTATATATTTCTATTTTCCCATTATTAATATGTATGTATATAATTTAATAATCGTATGTCTCAAAACACACTGTTAATCTGAGACCTACTTTACTCTATGACCCAATACTATACCTATTATTTTCGAACACACCACTGGGCAGTAGGGTAACAAAAATGATAGCTTGTTAGCTATCAAGTTATAAAGAGTTTCTTGTTATCCTAAAGTAACAAGAATAAAAGGCACGTACCTACCCATACTGCTGTCAGTGGATCTCTCCTTTGGCACTTTCTGCAAAGAATAGGCAATGTCCTGTGTTCTTAGGATAGCTTGCACACAAGCTAGGGTAAGACTGCTTTTAGCAACAATCATACTGTCCATGAATAAGAAGTCACTGAACTTTTTCTCCTAAAGCACAGTTACACAGTTATAATTACACACCAAATCATCTAATCCATCCCACACCAGAGAACAGCAACAAGCCTAAATTGTCCCTTACAATAAGAACATGTAACATCTGCTATAGTTTGCAAAATGCTAGTTTGAGAATCAGTCAATCAAAAAGTTCATTTAAATATGGGCTGGGGACAAATGTATGCCTGATGAACGTGGCACATTTCAAGGATATGTATAATAAAATTATGAAGTCAATCATGTGTCATTGTGTTATTTTACTGGTAACTGCTGAATGAGTTTAATAAATACTACTTCCTCTGAGAAATAGGATACCAAATTCCACATAAAAATTATTCATAAATGAGAGTTTAAAAAATTAAAAAAGAATATGTATGTAGTGCTTGTGTCCCTCCATTTAAATCCAGTACACCCCACAAAACAATGCCACCTCGAACTATGGGGTTATGAATATCGCACAGCTCTGATTCTTGACTAAAAGGTAGCTTTAGAACATTATATTTAACGTGTCACACATGAGCATTTCAAATTCATGTGAATATTAATGCCTACCTAAGCAGATGCAGCAGTTTAAAAGATGTAATTTTCTTCATACAAGCTTCCAAACCACAAATACACTTAGTAAAATCAACTAAAATTGGATTTAGAAAGCCTAGAAAATAGTATACTAACTTCATATGAAGTGTACAGGTCTGCTTAATTTCACATAAATGAAATAGAGAAGTTTAAAAGGGTTGATTAAGTAAAGCAGGAAAATGCACAGAATAAATTTATGTTTTGTTTTGAATAAATGGTCCAGTATTACTTGGCTTAGGAATTTAGAGTCCTGGAAAAAATTGTGATCAAAGGCCTTAAGAAACATGCAACTTCAACAGCAATTGAGGGTCTCTGCTAGAAGACGGAATGTGAAGTTTCACCTGCACTAGGTTTCTTTTGCTGTTACATCCGAAACAGCCAAGTTGATGACATTTTTTTTAAATGCCTTAATACAGACCAACAAAAAAGCTAACAAAAAAGAGCTTCAGGTATACCATGGCTAATCTCTACTGCTAAACAGCTATTGTGATACACATCTCTTTACTAGCAGGTCAGCTAGAGTCCATTATAAATCAGTGTAATCAAGTCCCATCAACACGATTTCTCTGTACTTGTACACTACTTTCCTCCCCCAACCTCACTAGGCAGCTGAATCTGTAAATCAAATGAGGAAACTAGGAAAATTCTATAATTATATACCCGCTACTGATAGATTAAAAGCAAGTATAAAGAACAGGAATTATTCTTTAAAAAAAAATATAAGATGAATTAATTGAGACCTGTACACTAGGTATGGATTTGAAAAGACAGAATAATCAATAAATTGGAAGCTATTTAAGTCAGCATACAAAGAAGAGGTTTGAGAACATCTTCTCACTTTGAAATTAGCTGTACTTGTGAAGTACTTAGATTACTAAAGGAAACCCTAGGCACTAAATACCATGCAAGTAATACAAATCCACAGCCCAGCAAACAAAGCCAGAATTGAGACTGATTTCTGACAACAAGATGTATCAAGCTGACATGTAGATCAGCTGAGAAGCGTTTGCATTGCAGCAACTGCTGCTATCTGATTGTCAGCCAGGCAACTAGCAATGTTTTCTATAACAAGAGATTAAGGCCAATTCAAAGGAACTTTCCATAGAGGCTACAGCAGATGTTTATTTTCTGTTTTTAGCACTGTATCTGCCAAAAATATTCTGAGATTAATTGGTTCTAGCAGTTGCATATACAGAAAGGATATACTTAAATACCAACTCTGTCGCCTTACAACATGGGGGAAGCCATACCAAAGATCTATGAGTCTTCCACAAACACAGAGATTCACTTTCAAACTGCCAAAGACAATTAGTGTAATTAAAAGTATATTTTGCAAGCCTAGAATCAACCTCTACTACAAACACTATCTTTTGTTGATCTTTTTCGGCACAAAAGGGTATTTCTGCTTCCCCTAGCCCAGAAGATAGTCTTGTTACTGGCCCCTCAAACTAGCAGTTTTTAGAACCAAGTAGGAGATTTGAAACTTGATGTCTTGCAATGTTCTTGGAAGTTCTGTATAGTTTAGGGGTAGAGTGAGCAACAACTTGCTGTGTTACGGATGTTGCATTTTTGACTCCACATTATAAATAATTTGTTTTCCTTTAATTTTGTTTCCTTTTCCTCCAGTGTAACCAATATCAGTCATTTTAGCCTAAAAACTTTGCCATTGCCAGTATAAAGAATTTTGAACTACTTGCATTTGTAGTCTGGACCAAGCGTTTATACTATGCATAAGCCTAAGGATCCTACAGCAGTTCTGTAGCTGCAACAAGCCTTCAAAGAGGATAAAGTACAGGGAAGCAACAGCCAAAATTAGCTCTTGTACTAGAGCATCAAAAGAACACAGTGACTTTTTCTAGGTCATTTTCTTATAGTATAGCTAGTACTTCTCAAAACCCATTGAAAGAAAACTACACTGGCAACATCTGAATAAACAGTTTTCTCCATCTCAAGGCTACCAAGAGCTTGCAGAGACTTTCTACCTGCAGCTCATTATACACTTAATGCATTTCCCCTCCCCCACCCCCTGTTATGAAAAGAGAACCTGTTTGGGCCAAGCTAAATCAGAAGCATGGAAGGACTTTGAACTCCATAAGTGAATTTTTAATCACAACAATTACTGTTGCAATTAGCTCTAAGTTGTAATGTTTGCCACAAGAGCCATCAACTCATTCAGGGCAGCCTGAACTGGCCTGACTGCACATTTATTTTCCTCCAGCATCACAATCCTCACAATCAGGATGAATCCTCTTAACACACATTGCAAGCATCCATTCAGTGAAAGATTAGCATAATATTAAGGCCATCTGAAGTACAGAAATGAACAGCTCTGAATGTTTTATTGTGCAGACATTTGGTTATGCACAAGAGAGAACAACCAAGCCAAGACATCTGGCACAAATTACCATCATTACAGTTTTTTTGCACAGTTTTAGGAACTCTGGTCAGCACCTGCATGTCGACATGGAAGTCACAATACACTTTCAGGGCCTACTCTTCAAGAAAGCTAGTCTGGCAAGAACCAAAATACCAGTCTGCTTTGGCACGAAATTAAGAGGGCACACAATACTCCACCTTCCTTATAAAGCTCAATATTACAAGGCTAAACATCCAGGGTTTTTTTAATGGAAAGAGCCTATTTAAAATCATATTCCTCCCTCAGTTCATAAACCTAGCATGACAGTCAAGAGATACCACTTTACCACTTGTAGCTGGCTATTCCCTTTTCCTGTCCTAGCTCAAAGAAGCTGAAAGCATTATGTCATATTCATGGCTGTCCCGATTCACCTACCTGATATAGGGATCCCTCCCAGACCTGTGCTGTGTTGTGGTGGGAGATTCAAGTCCAAGAAATTACTATTTGAGGTGGGATTTGCTGTGTGGTTCAAGTGCATGATGCTATTGCGTGGGAAGGCCATCCAAGGATAGCGAGCTGCTTGGCCTGGAAAACTGAAGGAGTTGTAAACTGCTCGATGCTGTTGAAACTGTGGGAACCTCTGTGGCATGACTGGAAAGGTGCTACTGAGAGAGTTGGCATTTGTGGGTGCAGCAGGATGCAGAAATCCAGAGCCTGGCCCTTTGGCAGTTGTAGTGTGTGGGGGAGGGTTCTGAAGAGATGTGGGCGAGAGGGAAGGTTGGTCTTGGACTGACAGTTCCTTCTCAATCAGGTCTGCTAAGGCTTTGCGGGTGATGTCAAAGGGGTCAAACCCTAAGTCGTCCTCTTGCTGTTTGGAGGAACCAAACCCAAAAGCCGCTTGCCAGTCTGTGGAGGAGGATACTGGTATAGTTTCTGTTAGAGAGGAGAGGAACAGGATTTAGAACAAGAATCAGTAACTATCCACACAAAAATTTCAGCCTCACTGTATCTGAGTCTATGTTGCCAGTTATCTTTATATAATACTTTTTTTACATATTCCCCAAAGACACCTTATTCATCAGCTGAGAATGCCATTTTCACATCAAACTGTCAGATTTTTACTTAGGATGAAATGGTAGAACTAGAAAACAGTATTTTTACTGCAGAATTGCTCTGTTCCTAAACTACAGAAAAGCCTTACCCAGTAAGTATTTTCAGTAATAGCACCAAGTAGGAAGAGAAACACTTGCTTAGAATGTTCTTTACACACATATTACTTAATGGAGACGTGACCAAGTGAAGTTTAAATAAGACAGTTATTCAGTTCAATATTTTGTTTTCAGTATTAATACTGTGCTTCAGCTCTGCTCTGCAAGAAAGGTGAGGAGATGCTCCCTCTCAAAGGGGTAACCTCTGAGAAGTGGTTAAGAAAAAACGACAAAACCCCACCCAAACCCCCCTACTATCTCCCAACGAAAACCAAGTCAAATTCTTGAGCAGACAAGAACTGACAAAACAGAATTAAGGAACTGCATTACAAGATATTGTTAAATATTTTGAGGCAGTGTTGCAGTAATGGGTTACCAGGATTTCTCTGCATTTTCAATTACTACTTCATTTTATTATACTGTTTAAGTTTCTTATTCAGGTTCAGTGAAAGCTGCGTCTAATTTCACAGTATTTTTCCTCAAAACGGTGGCAATGCAAGCTGAGGAATACAAAGTATTATCACTCACATTAACTCCCTCTGCTGGTAGGGAATCTGGTCTGCTGCCTCAAGTACTTCAAATTAAGCTCAGTATGCTCTCAGAAAAGAAATCTATGCTTCTAATTTCACTCTAAACCTCATGACAATAAATAGAATTTCTAGACAGACAAAAACCTGTTGTTTGTATTCTTATTTAAATAGCAGTCATATATTTTATATTAATTTTGAAACAAGCAAGATCTCTACTAGCTGGAAATCCCCTCTCACTGCTACTTAATCCTCATTAAATTGGTGTGTATATTACCTTAGCAGCAACTAATTTCCTTGGTAATAAATATTGTTAACAAGCACAATTAAAACATTCAGAAATCAGATAAGAGAAGACTAATCACTAAGTAAACCAGCTGTATCCTAAAGTATTGTTTACATTCTATTTATTACTGATGTACATTCTATTCAGTACTAATATTGTTTCATTTAATTTTCTAACAATTCCCTCAGATTTATAATTTGAGCACTTAAATACCAAGACTATATAAATACAACTAAAGCTATGTTTCACTCATATGAAGTGATATTTCACAAGAAACTACCTTTCAGTTGATGTAATTAATCATATTTTTATATTTTCTGAATGTATATAATCCCACTTCAGAAAGAGGAAGATTAGGCACCTTCAGATAACTATGCAGGATACTAAAGAAAATTCTGAATTCTACTGCACAGCTTTGGATGTTAGAACTACAGATTATTAAACCAACATATATAACACCGCATTTTCCTCACCCTCAATAAAACCCTGTAACATCAAATATTAAGCATACATGTCACATCCTATTATTTAGATAGGCACAATGCTAAAAACTAAACTATGCATTCTGATAATGTAGCCATGCAGCTGGAAAACTCTGTAAAGTTTCTTCTAGAAGTAACCCTTACTCCAGTGCAACTCATTTATAGTTAAGAGACAAATTTTAATCATTCATGAAGGTGAAAAAAATAGCATGGAGCAAGTCCTAGAGTTTTTGGTTCTACATGGTTTTAGACATCAGTTGCAAAATGTAGTTGGTTCTACATAGTTTTAGACATCAATTGCAAAAGGAAGCAATATCCAGCCATGTAACCTGTGCACGAACCTGATGTGAAGAGGCTCTGTGGTTCTGGTGCTGTGGGCCAGTCATTTGAAGTCTGTGGAGAGCTGGGGAATGGAGGAAGCCCACTAGGGATAGGGTTAGGGTGCCGAAAGTTGTCAGAGAAGAGTGACTGTGATTCTGTTACAGCCCCTTCAAAAGGGGACCGTGCACTGTGATTAGATGAACTGATGGGTATGACTGGATTGGGTTTTGTCAAACCAGGCGGTGGTGAAGGTGTGTCACTATTTGTTATCTACAGTCAAGAGAGAAGAGAAACAATTAGGACTTGAGTGTTTACATATAAAATATTCTTCACTAATACAGTTGAAAAATTTCTTCAAAGCTCTTGACTGCAATTAGGTTAGTTATTCTATAACTCAGTACATGATCAAACAGAAAAATCAACTTAGGAGTATTTTTTACTTTTGTTTAAAATTATGATACACTTTAAAAAGTACTGGCTTCTCCAACTGCAAGTTGCACCAAGGCCTCAAACTCAATCCTTACTTTCACAGCATTTATCTTTACGTCTTACCTGTTGGGAGCTGTCACCATTTCCTATACTGAGTGAATCTGAAGGTTTGTCGATAGGGCTGCAAAAGTAGGAATGGAAAAGAGACAGTAAGACATTCAAGTATTTAACATTAAAATCGACATTTGCTTTTATAGTGGTAGAAAAGCCTTGAAACAAAGACAAAGTGGAATTAAATAGGAGAATACAGAAGGAAAAATGCCCACTTATTTATGAGACTTAAAAAAAAAAATCATAAACATTTCAATCATTTGCCATATACTGTCATACTTCTTCCCACCACTCTCCACTCTGCTTGTTGACTGTCCTGTTAAGGAACAAAAAGAAAGTTTTAAACATGCTCATAGTATCTCTATGTCATTCAAAAAACCAAAACTCTGGTACTATGGCACTATTCCATAGTATTCAGTTCCATTTATGCTACTACAGGAAAGAAACTTGGGAACAAATTTGTTTTCCAAATACTTAAGTTGTCAGTTCCCATACAAGTCTTAAATAAATCTGAGGAGAGATAAAAGATAAAATTAACTATTTAGTTCTGATGGCAAGTTAATCTTCCACCAGCCTTCAAGGTTTAACTAGTAGAAATTAGTTCCAAGTTAAGAAAACTGAGTTTTGAGATGACAAATGGGGAAAAATGCAGGAAAGATATAGCATCAAAAACTCCCAACAAACTTAAAGAGAATAAAAGATAAGATACAGCAGAAAACCACCTCAGAAAGCTATTAACTGGAACTTAACATGACTTGGCTGAAATGGCACATCTCAGGATTCAAGATTTTGACAGGCATCTGTGAGTTGCCTTAATTATGCTAAATACCACACTAATTAAAAGTATTAGTTCCGGTTCAGATTAAAATCTCTGCTTTACAACTTCAGGGTACTTTCATTTTTATCTACCCATAAGAGAAGATGCACAAGCATCAGGCTGCACAGCCCAAAACACCAGTCCTACCAACAAGGACTAGAAGAACATGAATTTCAGTTCCATTTAGAAGCCAGAATGTAATACAAGTCAAATTACAGGCATGATGTGTCAGCACAAATTATACACATAGTAATTATTTTAACTGGGTGCAGACTTCAGATTCTAGCTAAACCTTGTTTTCAAACACCCTTGCTGCTGCAAGGTTCAAATATGTATAGAGCCACAGATCAAGGTAAAAAGTTCGTTAAGGTTGCTTCTCTCCATATTTGTTCTCTCCATCCCAGAATAACTAGAGTCAAACCCAGCAGAATTAATTCTTCTCCATTCTAAAGAATCTGCATAAGAGTAATCTGTCAATAAAAACCTTTTTTGTGCAAAAGAACACTGTTTGAGTCAGTGTATCAAAAGAGATAACTGAAGCTGAAGTATTTACAATTATAAAAATCAGAGGAATGTACTTGTAAACAAACATTACTCCAGTGATGATTTAGAAATACTGTCCACTGAATGGTTGAGCAGCACAAACACAGTTCTTCCGTTTGGAAGAAACTGCCTTGGGTTAGTAATTTCTGAATACCTATAACACAAATGTTTGCTGTAGACTCTTCACTACACAATCATTCTGACTGCCGAGCTGATATTCCAGCCAAATTCTTTTCCCAAAGCTGCTGACAGGAAGTCACAATGCTGCAGTTTAAAAAGCTAACCAACTTTTTTTCCATTCAAGGAGGGCACCAAAGAGGAAAAAATGTTGGTTAGCAATAAGGAAGTTACTGCAAGCAGGTGAATTATTTCTTCTGCACAAAAGCCTTAGACAAATCTACTGCCCTGTTGCTCCTGTTAGAGAGTAATAATAGGGAACCCTTTTCTCTGCAGTTGTGTTTCTGCAACACACCTCTGTGAAGAGATGGCAGGCATCAGCCCTAACATTTAGCTTCCTTCTGTTGAAGCTTTTCCAAGTAACAAGCCTCCTGATGTATAGCGACTAGCATGTTACTTTTGTGGAAGCTTCTGCACAGAAATTAAGGGCTTAGGTCTGGCTGGGACCATGAAGCTATATAAGCTGTTGATCCCCCAGTTATTCAGTTCCCCTCAGCCCTTACCTGTACCACCCCTTACTAACTTACTGTAAGGGTTCTCCTGCACAATCTGCCAATCAGTCTTTTTGACATGGGCTAGGCTAAGCCAAAGTTGTTATGACCTAATTAGGATTTGAATCCAGTTCTCCAACCAGAGAGAGAGACTGGAGAATCATTCCCTCCACACCAATCAGTGAGAGAGAAAGCAAGCTATCTGAAGTATAAAAGGCAGCACAATTACCCGAAATCTGAGTCTGCACCATCTGGAGTCATGTGTTCTGGGTCTGTGCCATTTTCTAATATAGGAGGCGTTTTCCTGTGTTCCATTGTTAAACCGTTGGCTGATTTACTTGAACTCTGTAATGATGGCCAGGCATCTTTGTTATTACTGTTGGGTCTGGAAAAAGGCAAGAGTAAAAAAAAAAAAAAAAAAAAACCAAAACAAAAAAAAAAAAAAATAAAAGAAAAATAAAAAAAGAAAAAAAAAAAAAAGAAGAGTTCAAGTTATGAAGAAAGTGTTTCTAAAAATTTTAAGTACTGGGGAAAGGAATCCTTGTGCCAGAAAATCCATAAGAATAGATTTATCTGGGTATTATTTCTCAGATTTTAAATGGTGATGATTTAAAAAAAAGAATTATTGGGATAGGGAGGGGAGAGAGAAAACTGGAGGAATTCTGTTTTCTTCACTGAACAGACAGCTGCTCTGCCAACGCTGAAGTCCAAACTTACCCACTTGGGGAAGGGGGAGAAAAAAAAAAACAAACCAGAACAAAAAACTCCATCATCAGCTTCAAGTATCCAGACCTACACACATCTCATTCAGAATTATTTGCTTTATCCCACATGTATTTAAGTTGTGTAAATCATGAACTAAATCACTTTAAGAAAACATTTTACATTCCAGGCGCTACCAAGCCTGGCCAAAACAGATGAATTTTGCGTTTTATACCTACACAAAAGTCCACAGCTTTATTAGAAGACCATGAGACCAGTCAGACCAACACACCATTCAAGTTACTGTTACCTTAATTGATAGTTTAAAGCCGTAATTACTTCCCTTTTATAAAGCAACATTAAATTTAATTTCAGACTGCATGTTAGATCTGAAAGAAGTTCAAGAGTGGACTCATAGCCCAGGTTTTCACTGAAAATAGTTACATTTTATACAAATTGAAATGAGCTGGAATATCATCTATAACTGAAGGCATTCAAATTCAGTGTCACCTAACCCTACAATCTTACTATGACAGATTTGCCTGTGTTCTCCAGTTCTTTTATATTAATTTTTGCCTTTAATTTTCTTCAGGATGCTGTTTTTAGCATTCAAGTGCTTTCTGCATAAGGAAGAAGCCTTCAAAAATATTTTTAAACACACATATGTTCCTCCTGATGCCCCCTTTCATTCATATGTTCATATTACATGTTTCAACATTTACTCTACCTCTTTAGGACAATTCAGTAAGTTCACAGTCAGAATGCTCCTTATCACAACGTGTTTCCTACTCCTATTCAGATCAAATCTGTATTACTAGTTACCCTCAAATCTCAGTATTTGTAAGATTCGCTGTTCTACTGCCATCTTTTCTCATATACCTATAAGGTATGTACATGGATGAGAGCCTTGACCTGGTTTACAGGTCTCATCTTTGCTTTCTACACATTTGAAATAAGTTAAGAGATAGGAAGTTGATCAGGTACTGAACACCAAGGAATGAAGACACATCATCAGCCAGTCATTTAATATTGTCACCCTTATAAAAAATAAGATGTAATCCAGATATAACAAGACCTTCAATCCATTAACAGATTTATTTTAAATATAAAGATTTATGTTCATGCAGTGCAAAGCCATCTCTATACTAAAAATAACTTTAAAATGCCAGTTATATGTCAGTTTTGCACCCAAAAGAAAGGTAAAGAGAAAGAAACTGTTTTATGCTTTGGGGTGGGTTTTTGTGAGTACAGGGTTTTTTGACTTGGTTAAGTTCAAAGCTGCATGCTGTTTTCCAGAAGACCAGACAGCGTTTAACAAGTGATTCCACTTGTACCACTTGTAGCATAAGAAAGCATTCATTTCAGTTCTTTAGGAAAAGGTCAGGAGGTAAAAAAAAAAAAAAAAAAAGAAAAAAAAAAAAGAAAAATAGCTTGGTCTGCTTAGTCTGTTTTAATTGTGGAATATACCTCTAATTGTACAAGAGGGCAGTCAGTGAGTATGACTATCAAGTGAGGTAAAGAGATGAATACCCACATACACAAAGCGGCACTAGGGGATTTTAACATCTGCTTTCACCAGCAAGAAAAAAGGGGTGTGAGTAGAACCCTTCAAATTAGAACACAATTGTGAAAAAGCATTTATGCACAGTTTAAAAACCTGTTTTCTATAACTGGATATTTATAATTAAACATATACTATTTAGAACATAACTTCTGTTCAATTCCAAAGTGAGTGTACCCCAGTAACACAAGAACAACCAGGAAATTGTCAGAGGCTCTGACAAACTGCCAGAAATATTAATATTGTATCAATGAATCAGACAAAACTAAGATCTTGATTGGGTAGAAAGCTGTGAAGGTGAATAATACACATTCACTCACCAGCTCACAAGCTACATTTTGTACTGATGAGACAGGACTTCAAGAAACATTCCAAAATCCCAGCTGCAAGAAGAAATTCACTCTGCAACCCAAAAGGTGGTGTCTAGCCATTAGCAAAGAACAGTCTGCATTGTGATGATGCTGTTCAGCTGACAAGAGAAATTAACGCCAGAGCACCTGTCCCCATTTTTACCACAAGTGCCAAAGCGTTAGCACCACGGACTGGCCAAGTTCCAATTCGTAATTGCTTTCTGAAGGCTTAAAAGTTTGCTGCAGTTTCAGATAAAGCATTCTTTCCTCGCTGCTATCATTTATTTTGCTGGGATGTAATTAAGTTTCAAATGAACATTACTTCAGACTTTTTAACATTAAATAATCAATACCGAAATGCAGAAACTGGTGTATTTGCTTTACTTGTTGCCCATTACTTTTCAAGTTAATACTGAACCAGCGACCAAGAAGAAGTGGCACAGTCCTTAAAGATCCAACGGGAGGTCCCAACCACTTGCAGTCAAAGAGCATATGATACTTCCCCACAGAAGTTTAAGAAAATAATCCCACTAAGCCAACTGGGATATCAGTTCTCAGAATTATATTCTACTCATTCATGATCCATTGACAATACTTCAGATACAGTATTCACTTTATTGCTTAAAGTGTTGTGCAGCGACACTGCCAAATGGCAAATTATTGTCTGAAAAAATTAGTAGTGGATAAACTGGCACACAATACAAACCCTGATTACAAGGCCAAGGTGAGTGCAAAATACAATTTAGCTTTTACATTCCACTTTGCCCATCTCATTTTGAAAATCCTACAAAAAGGAGTGGAGGAAATTGTTAACACTTTTTATTTCTTTATCTTAAACATGATATTTGAGTGGATAATTCACGTAAGGACTGATGACCACAGGCTTTCATTTATCTTTGTATGAGTATGTACTCATATGGACAGAAATCTTTTCATAACATACTGAACAAGCTACTTCAACAGAATATTAACAAGCAGTAATAAGTGATATATGCAATTACAACAGAAATATGTAACTGAATTTTGCTAGATGAAAGCAAGGAATTTTTTTATTCCCAATTCTTACACAAAAGAAACTGATTTTACTCTCAATTTCCAAGGTCCTTACACCTAATGTAAGGACTGCACTAGAAATCACGATGTAAAAAACAATAAAACACATGTATCGAGACTTTAAGGTGTCTCAGTTGTTATGTCATGACACCATACCAGGAAAACTAGCACCTGGTCTTCAAAAAAAATATTATGTGTTTATACTAATATAAACTACAAGGCCATCTTTCAGAGTAAGAATACCTTGTTTCCAACTAGTGATCCAAATGCACTTGGCAGAAAAAGTAAGATTCACACTCACTCTGTATTAGAACAAAGTGGTGCATGTGTCTCTGCACAGAGAAAACCAGTCGCAGTTTATAATGTAAAAAGCAATGGGCAACTTAGTGGATGCAATAGGAATAAGAAAGGTCTCCTTGGGAATAACCAGAAAGAAAGAATACCCAGGCAGTCCAGCATCAGTACTTACACATCATACCTCTGCAATGCTGTCACTTTGTTCTTGTTCTTGTCAACTGTACCCGTAGATAATTGAAGAAAGTTGGGGTTTAGTTTGTATAATTCTTGCAGTAGTTTCTGTTCATATTCCTGGTGCTTACCCGCCTAAGAGAAAAATCACAGTGAACAAGTACTGGGTTAATATTTTTTTTCAAGATTTAAAACCCCCAAATCATGCAACTTATGTATGTACATCCCAAAGATAAGTAATTGAGCTTTAACAACAGGTAAATCCTAACAAACTCAAAACAGTGATTCTCAATCTCAGTAGATATAATCTCAATAAATCTACAGCTTGCCTAGAAATCACCTGGATGTATTTATAAGTTTATAGATTTCTTTTGAGACTTCTAAAGCAGGAAAATAGTTAAAACCTTATCAGAACTTGGTCTTCAGTTCTAATAAAGAGCTTCACAATATGCCTTCTCAATCATGAACAGCTAAATCTCTAAGGCAGTCTGCATTTGATATGTCAAGCATACTAAGCTTTTCTAAAGATGGGAAGGAGCAAAGAGTCTCTTAAACCAGAAGTTCCAAAATGGAAGTCATTTTATAGTGGTTTAATACAAACCGCTCAGGTGGTCTGACTGTGAACTATCATGTGACAATGAGTATATTCTGAGCAATAACTGATAAATCATTTTTTAAATAACTGAAAAATTGAAATAGTCTTAACTCAATTAACTAATGAGAAAAATTTCTTGCTTTCAGAAATCAAGGAGTATTTTTCAGTCTAGTTTATTGGTAACATTCTGTGGCTAAATATCTAAAAACCAGCAAGATCCACCCCCCAACATTTAAAGTGATATCTGAAATAAAATCAAGATGATCATTCATATTTTTGTAGGTTGTTAGACCACTCCAACATAAGAATTACTATTTTCAAGTTAAGTATTGTAATGAGCTGAATCAAGATGCAAAATAGTACAGTAAAAACTTCTCTTTAAAAGCATTACTTGCTTTAAAAAAAATTAATAGGAATAGCTGACAAAATTCAAAAAACAGTACTGCTGAGAAACTAGATTCCCTTATGGGCTCCTTTAGAAAGGCAGCTGCATAATCCATTTGAATACTCCAAGTCAGTCAAACACTATAAATATCTCAAACTTTCCACTAGTTAATTCTTCAGTTCTCCATTACTGACTGATTCTGAACATGTCTCTAGGTAGGCAACCTACCCAACCCTCAAAAAAAAGACACTGAAACATCTAGTGTATGCATCATCTTAACCAACTTTGTCAGTGTCTACAACCAAGCTACTACCTACAGTAGAAAAAAGTGTGGTTCTAGAGCGCAGTTCACCTAACTGCAAACTTTACAATATATACTGCACCCTGGAGATGCTTCTTTCACCATCCATTATGAATGGAATGTAGGCAACTAGCTTAGATACAAAGATCTGTACTGCAAACATTAAGCAGCTGAGTAAGAAGACACCTTCCTGGATATCTCATCTTGCTTAAGACTTCAGTGGCAAAAGACTGAACATCAGGCCACTCTTAAGCTCACTTACCTGTCACATAAATGTAAGAAAGAAACAAGATTAAAAACCTATATAGGAGCTTACAATAATTGTGCTTTATTTATGACAAGCAACCCAGAGCCAAAACTTAGCATCTCCAACCTACCCTAAGCCTAAACTCCCAACCTCACTCACAGAGACTTCCTGCAGTTCTACCAGTTCTTTCTCTTGTTTTCAGTTTGTCACAATGTTTAGCTCTATTAGCAATTATTGAGCCTAGAACAGAAGTTCATCCATTAACAATTCTATTTTTTTCTAAATAATCAAAGTTTGTGACAATGAACATTCAAACTCATTAAACCTGTAAATTCACTGACACTAAGCCAAACTCCAGAAAGCACCGTGCGCTCTTCAGTAATTTCCAACAATTTCCAAGAAAGCAATAAGAAATCAAGAAGAAAGTTTAAGAAATGTAACAAGGAACAAGACAGGAAGATTCATTTAAGTCACCATGATCAAGTATAATCCACTCAATTCTAAAGGAAATCATATGTGAAATTCAATTCCTGGCCAAGGTATACAGCCTATTGATTTTAACTGGCAGGTAGGCCAGAGGACTGACAGATCGCCACTGCCTTCTATGGAAAGTGTTGTAGAAAAGATCCTGCGAACTACAGGCTCAAGTTCAACCTCCATCCCTAAGACTATAAAGTCTATCACAGAAATTCATCGATAAACACCATCTGCTGGGAATGAATCTGTATATCTTCTGTAAAGGGGAATTCTACTTGACTAACATGATGGACTTTTATGATAGTGTCCATAAGCATAAACAAAGAGGATGCACAAAATTTTCAAGAAAGCTTTTGTTTGACAATGTTTCCCACCAGAACTTATTCACGAAGCTGCCCTGGGATGAAGAAAAGGTTCTTGTGTGGATTGAAGCTAATTCAAAGATAGAAAGGCAAAGGTAAGACTGGTCACTCCGTCAGGGTGCAGAAGCGACTGGCATCAGTTTTATGCAACACCGTAAGTATGCATGAGAAAGGAGTGAAGAGCACATTCTTCGCTGACAATATCAAGCTCTCTGGGTAGTAAACTGCTATGTTGAGAATGAGGAACTCCCAAAGTACCCAAAAAAACTTGTCAAGAAGGTAGCAAATAAGCTTCAGAGTCATGTCAGGTAACACACAAAGCAAAACATAGCCTAAACTGTACTAATGATCTATGAACTGGTTGTTACAGCTCTGAGATAATGAGGTTACTGCCAACAGATTTCTGAAGTTGTTAGTTGATTATGCACTGGCAGTCAAACACAAAACATATGCTGGGCATCATTTGGAAGGGCACTTAAAAACAAAGAAAAGAACAATCCACATACCATACTACACACAAAATACTGAAGATTGCTATATTAAACTTTGCTTTCCCCCACATCATGAGTATGAGTCTGACCTCTCCATCTGAAGGATGACACAGTTAGAAGGTACAGAGATTGGCAACAGAAATTATCACAGAAAGGGAGGAACTGCTTTACAAAGAAGTTTGTAAAAGCCCAGAAACTGATTGGAGAGGGTATGAGAGAGAAAAATCAAGTTTTACAAAATCACAAAGGCAATGGGTAAGGCGAAGAAGGATTTTACTTTCAGCAAGTACAATGGTAAGATTAGGAGACACTTGACAAAACTAACTGGAGATAAGTTTAACACTGGTAAAAGAAAGCACTTTATAAAATAGCTGGTGAACTTCTGGGGCTTGCTACAACAAAAGACTATAGGGTTGACAGTCTCAGCAGGTTCAAAACAGATTAAATAAATTCATGGCTGACAGCTCTATAAAAAACTAAAAAGCCTAGTCAGGAACATGTCCCCAAACATGTATAACATAGCAGATCTAGGTGGTAGAAATACAGGGAAATGAACAGGGAACGTGGCCTGGTTTGCAAGTTTTCCTTGAATTTCACCTCCTATTGCTATTATCTGCAACAGAATATATACTACAGGGACTATTCATCTAAACCAGTAGGGTATTTATTTAATTTATGAAAATGTAGCTGAAATCTTCAGAAATAATTGCTAATTTGTGGGAAAAAAATGTTGAATAGATAGAGACTTTCTACCTTATTCTCTGGCTTCCATCAGCTTAACACACAAAATCTACCTGTAAAACATCTGAGCTAGGACTACAGGTGGGGACCACTTGCTTGATGGACAGATCACATGCAAAAATTAAACAGCATGGATGCAAAGCTGACATATTTCAGATTGAGTTTAAAAGCTTTACCATACCTCATGTAGAGGGGCAGGTCCAGACCCAGAAGTCCTTAGAACACACCAACTTTGAGAAAGTAAAGCTATCCATTTACATGTTTCCCTACCTTAGATAATAAGCATGTTGATGTTAGGATAGCCAAAACCCCCTGCATCAGTATTTATGCTCTATTACAGTTACCCTCAGTTTTTTATTTCCAAACAGTTTCTATACCCTTCACAAGCTAAAAGGGTTATCCAATTCAGATAGCATGGTCAAATTCACAGCCATAGTAACTGGCCACATACATAAAACCTACAGAAAAACCCAGATCTGACTTATTTTTTTTTTTTCACAAATTTAAAAGAGTGTGTTACCTTTTCAGCCTTTAAAAGCAGCATTCAGTGAGAAAATTTAACTTCTAATATCCAACTGGTTAATCACCTTCTGGATTTCAAAGTTCACGTCTGCCATAACATTCAGCAAAAGGCTATGCTATACAACACAGACTAAATTATATATAGTAATACACATACATGCCACATTTAATGTGATTCCCATTCATTACACATACCTGCATTTCTTCTTTTGTGAAACTCGCTGCTTCATCTCCCAGCTCATGTAGATACATACAGTCTGGTTTCGGACACTGCATATTTTTTAGAAAATAACTGCAATATTTTGTTGTACCTAATGATGCCTGAAGGTGACAAAAAAAATCATTACTTAAGCACTGGAAGTTATGACTGCCTTTTACAGTGTAAGGAAAAAAAAAGCTGTATTTCAAGAAATAAAAAAAAAATCTGTCCCAAGATTTGGAGTTTTTGATGCAGATGGACTAGGAAGTCCATTTCTGAAAAAATCTATATACTTGAGGATTAGATAATTAAGATGTATTTCTATTTCCATCCAATCTAAATAAACACCAAAATAAGAGCCTCTGTAAATATTTGCATTCATAACAATAACAGCCAAATAAGTAGTTATGAGTTTGTATTACATGAAACTGTAATGTTTTGTAGCAGGATCAGGAAATTAATATTAACTAGATGATTTTCTATATCCACCAATTTGGCCCAGTCAGCCTGAATACCTGTTTACACATGTATCAAAAGAAAAAAAACTTGCATTTCCTATGGAACTTTTGAGAGGTGTGATGTTTGAACTACAGAATGCTCTGTAAAAGCCAACAGCCAGGTTTTCACACTGTGCTATTAAGCTATAAAGCAAAAAAGCCACTGTGGGAAGGAGGAGGTAGTGCATCTTTTCCTTTGTTTCAGACTTTTGTTTTAAGAAGTTACCCGCTAACCCCCTAAAACACTGCCTGCTGGAAGCTCACTGAACTTTCATGTTGTGATTAATGCTAGGAAAATAGGTCAAAACACAATCCTCCAAAAACTGGACATTTTTGTTTATCAACACAAGCATGTCCATACAAATAAAATTTTATACCATGCACTGATATTAGTGGCCTAGCACATACATGTAAGAATGCAAAATATTACCACCTTAAGTGTTCTGCCATCTACCACCACATTATTGACGCACTGTATGGCTCTGAGAGCATCTTCTGACCGGATGTAGGTTACATATGCACTGGCACTTGGACCCTAGGAAGAAAACACACCATATTATTTTTATACTCTCCCCACAACATATCTAAAAATTAAGTTGCCTTTTAGCAGCTCACTTAATAAACTAGTACATTCATGGCTAGATGTTTTTAAAAGGAAAACTGACAAAAACGGTATACTTCATAAAAATTTAGATCTGATGCATAATGACTGGGGAAAAGAAAAAAAAAAAAAAAGCATCAAAATGTTGCTTGAAAGTTATAAAAATAAAGGTATTTTATCCCTGAAATGCAGATTAGTGAATAAATGCCACATTACTGCTTCTTTGAAGGTTCTCATCCTGTCTCCCAATTTTTCATCTTTCTACACTGAATCTTGCATCCAACTTTGACAGTCTGGTTGGACAATGCCTCAGTAATGGAACAATATTTTGATTTTTGCAATGCTGTTATAGAATCACAGAATGGTTTGGGTTCAAAAAGACCTTAAGACAATCTAGTTCCAACTCCCCTGCCATGGGCAGGGACACCTCACACTAAACCATGTCATCCAAAGTACTGCCCAACCTGGCCTTGAACACTGCCAGGGATGGAGCATTCACCACTTCTTTGGGCAACCTGTTCCACCACCTCACCTGCCTCACAGGGAAGAACTTCTTCCTTATATCTAACCTGAACTTCCCTTGTTTAAGTCTGAACCCATCACCCCTTGTCCTATCACTACTGGTTTTTTGTTTTGTTTTTACTTCTTTAAACTATTGCTTAATCGGAAATAGGGAGCCCCAGATTCATCCTGCACATGTGTATTTTCTCTAAAGGAATAAAAAAATAAAATCACAGGGGCCTCCGACTTACCTGTGAGCCTGCATATGATGTGCTGTTATTAATGACAACTTTATGTATTTTACCAAACTTCCCAAAATATTCTGGTCGTTTCAAAACCTACAAGAAAAGAAAATCAAAGTGGTATGTTGGAAAGTTATTTCATAGATGGCTGTACTTCTTCTCTGTAACTATTCAACTAAATCCTTGTAACTAATAAAAACAGGTCTCTTCCACAAAGAAAAGAAGAGCATGTAGTTTTAAGTTTGTCTTCTAATGTAAAAGTTACTTGCAATACAGAGTGTGCTGCAATTGAAGTAAAGAACTTAAATGAAAGATATTCAATATTTCATGTTGTATTTTTAAAATGTCTTTAGGTATTATATTACCCAAACCCTACCCTGGCATAATATATCTGCTTCAACACGAAATACATGTATGTATTTTAAAATTTCAGGAAAAAATAAAAATAGCATTAATTTCAGTTTTAAAATAAATAACCACCCTAAACTTGCATTCAAATATATTAACTGCTAGGAACAAAATGCTAAATCCTGACTCACTTGCTCTACTCTGAAAAGAAAGATTAAACCAAATAGCTCAAGATAGCCTCAAGTTTTCAGAAGACCAGACTAAGTACAGGAAGACAATATATGACACTTCCTGGGGCAAGAAAAAACATTTCAGAATCAACATCATGCTGAAATGAATGAATATCACATCCCTGAAGAAAAAAAACGTTCCTGTATTGCCCTTCCCTGCAACAGTTATTACTAACACACCATTTAGGGATCCTGTACAGAACAAGAACATCTCCAGCATATTAAGCAACTCTGTTGAATAATCATTACCTGTGTGTCAATGGAATTGCCAATATATCTGACACATTTTTTATCAAAAGACTTTTTCTACCCCCATGAAGGAAGGAGGTGCAGAAGTACTGACTCAGACAAAGTTAGATAAGCTATGGGTGTTTCTAATTGTAGACAATAACCTGAAAGGTTAAAAAGGAAGATTTGTTTCCCCAGCTCTGTCTTCATATTAACCCTGGATAGTACAGTTAAACTGTACTGAACCAAGAACTTCTCTACCGAACTACCTCATCTCCCTTCTTCAGGGAGCATCAACATCTTCAAGATTTAATGACATTAATCCCATTTGGAACATCCTGTAGAACTACCGGACACATTGTATAGACAACCAGTCACCCACTGATCTCTTCTGACTTCTCTTCACTTGATCTAAATCCTTCTTGACAGATCCTACACCCACCCTCAGGCATCACTGCAGAGACTGATAATGCTGAGTAACACACAAGAGTTTCTTCAGGTATCTTGCAGATTATACTCCTATTAAGATATGGCACCATGGCCTTCACAGTTTTCACAAGAGCATGCCAGCAGAAGTGGATCCACCTGTACTCTATTATGATCCACAGATCTATTTCCAGAGTCAGCAAAGAGCAGCCTATCTCCCCTGCCAAGTCATCTTCATTTGTGCAGGAGTTTTTTGCCTGCTTAAGTGGAAAACTTAAACTGAATATATTGAATACGTCATTTTTTTAGCCCATTTCTCTTTCAGGCTAGCTTTCTTGGAAATCAAGTCATCTTGCTGTGATAGGCAATATTCAGTAAGGACACATTATCTTTTGGTTATGTCAGTGAGAATACTGCTACCATCAAACCTAGTACAGCTCCTAACCCCCACGCCTTACACCAACAAACCCACTTCTAATTACTTCATGTATCCAATGTGGAATTACCTGAGGTTAAATAAAAATTTAGCTGTATATACTGTGATTTACTTCAACCAAGGACTTTCTTAGTCTCATGCTCTGCCAGGGAGGAGGGGAAGCCGGGAGGATGCAGAGACAGGACACCTGACCCAAACTGGCCAAAGGGGTATTCCATACCACAGCACGTCATGCCCAGTATAGAAACTGGGGGAGTCACCCGGAAGGCCCAGATCGCTGCTCAGGTTGGGCTGGGTATCGGTCGGCGGGTGGTGAGCCTCGTTATTTCCCTCATTATTATTATTATTATTATTGGTGGTAGCAGTAGTGGTTTGTATTATACCTTAGTTACTGGAGTGCTGTTATCTCAATCCACGGGAGTTACATTCCTCCAATTCTCCTCCCCATCCCTCCGGGAGCGGGGGGAAGAAGAAGGAGGGGAGTGAGCAAGTGGCTGTGTGGTTCCGAGTTACCGGCTAGGCTTAAACCACGACAGTTCTTTGTCATGGTTTGGACAAAGAAACAGAATACATTTTTCAGTAACAGCAATAAGCCAGTGCTGACAGTTGCTTGCAAATACTTGTTGCTATATTCTTGTAGAAGCTGAAGTGTTATACACCAGATAAGTTTAACTTCTATTTTTCTCTTCCTTTCATCCCCTTTTTCCCCTCCCTTCCACTAAAAGCAGCTTTTTACTTTTGTTCTTTCCCAGTCCACCAAAATGCAGACTATACGCTGTGAATCCTCAGAAACCACCACTTCTATTTGAGATTTCTCCAGACAACTTAGTCCAATCCAAAGTTAATTTAACTTGGCACAGTAGTTTTGATGACATCTATCTTACCCTGTAGTACATTCCCCTCATATTGTAATTCAAAGTACTTTTACTCATTAGCCCTAATTCCATCAGCCACATGCAGATGACTGATGATGGAAGTAAATAAAGCATTTTAAGCACAGTCTTCCAAACCAAAAGCTTCCTTTTGATGATGCAGAGTAGCAAGCCATCTCTATCCTAGATCTTCCTCTTACTAATATTCTTCCCCCAGCTGACACCACACTTATGATCTTTCCTAGTTACACTTCAGATGCTGGCTTTTTTCTAATGTCCCTAAAGGTTTGTACTACCCTTTATATTTGTTCTTTATAACCCAACCAAGCTCCCATTTTAGAATTGGTGGCACATGACACAGCTGTACAGTGCCAACAGATTCTGCCTAGGAAAAGGAGTACCTGAAAAGTTCTTAAACTTACTTTTAGCTTAACAACAAGCCATTTTTAAACAAATACAAAGAATAACTTCCTGGAGGGGAAAAAAAAAAAAAAAAGCAAACACTTATTGAGGCTATTTTGGAGTAGGAAGCTGAATAAGTTCCCTTAATGAGACAGAGCCTCAGAAGCAGTGAACCTTTTCAATGCTGCTTCATTTTATACTCATCAGGAGACAGACAAGGATAGGCATAAAGCTATTGCAATGGTTCTTTGACAGTAAGTTAGGAGCAAGATCTGCAAGTGTGAACTACTCACCTCTGGATCTGCTAAGCGCTGAGATAGCCCTACCACGAAGACAAGGTTCTTCTGTACAACCCGTACACTGGCCAAATGTTTGCGATTCTCTGATATCTTCTGTTTCCTCTCATTTTGTTTCTGTTTCTTTTCATTTTTTATCCTTTGCAGCTCTTCCTGGGAGAGTGGTTTGTACACTGCTGGATCTTCTGGATATGGCTAAATATAACAAACACCATTAAAAACAAACCACATACAAAACAACACATTTGAAAATCCTTAATCCCAACGTTTTAACATCAGATTTCTTTCTTTCATTATACTGTTCTGATTGTTATGGCCAGCCACATTACAGAAGTAGCAGACTCAGTCCTTTGGGACAGGTGAACATCTTGCATATTTTTATGGAATTCTCCTATTTATAACATAATAACGATTTGGGCAATAGCGATATTCTAACCCAGCTGCCTGTCAGTTTGCTAGCACTACAAGCAGCTGCAACATGACAACCAACAGGTCCTGTTAAGATTTCACTAACACAGCATAGTAAGCAGGATGAAGGCATGTCCTGCATATTCATTTTATATTTAGTTGTCCAATACAGATTTGGATAACTAAGTGTATTAAAGACTACAGGCTAAGAAATCCAAATATAAATGTAATTTCTGTGGACCAAGTTCAAGACAGTAACACCATTACACAGCTCAATCTTTACACTGTTACCTTCTAGCGATGAGACAGATTTCAATATGCTTACTGCATACTGACTCAACAGTACTCTTGCCATGCTTGTGTACCAGTTCGAAATGTGGGCTTTTTCTTCCCTTGACAAGGGTGCATTTTTAACCTCAAGATTATCATCTACAGATAACTCCTCAAACACAGACATAACACTGTAGATTTGAATCTCAAAAATATCTAGCAGACGTACAAGTGTCCTCAGAGTTACCTCAAAAGATTGCTCTACTTGTACAGAGCATTGCTATAAAGGCACTATTTTAGCCTGGTCTGTAGTCTACAGTGCACTGTCCTCTGCCCCAGATTATTCCTCAAAGCAATCCCATATTCCTTACCTGTCCCCGTTTTCTCAGACTGAAAAGTTGGATTTCACACTTTATATACAAAGTAATGCTAAGCACAGAAGCAAATATACAAAAATATATCTCAAACAAAAAACAGTGTTTCTAAACACTAACACGAAGTAAAAAATGAGAAGAGTGCAGGAGATGTTCATTAAGAGAAAGACTTAAGATAAAAAAGTTAAGCTCACCAATATGCTGAACTAAATTCTTTGCTTGTGCCACCAAATGGGCAAGTTCAACAAAAAAATTAATTTAACTTTTTCCTGACTGTCCTCTGTTAATGGTAGAGCACAAAACTAGTTGTGATACTAAACAACCTGAGAAAAATCTACAGCAGCAGATGAAAATAAGGTTTAGGTTAAAAGCATATATTCCTCATACTTGCATGATGCTACCGAAAGACTCACCAAGTGCTCAGACCCAATAGTCTTCTGAGTACATCCCCAAACAAAACAAGATCCATTTTACAGTCCAAAGAGTTTAAAGTTCAGCATCATTATGCTATACTTGAGACATTATCTGAAAATATGCTGCAGCTGACTTCAGTAGATGGCATCTCATGGTTAAACACCAAGTCCCCTGGAACATGTTTATAGTATCACAAAGGAATTTAAATTTTAAGATACTTTAGCAGTAACCAAAGGTACACAAGTCCTTAACATCAAAACACAGTAAGGACTCATGTTACCCTTGCAGAACAGTTAAAACAATACCATTCTTAAAAAGTTACATTGTTCACAAGTAACACTGAATACCTTGTACTGATTTCACAATGTACTTGATGAATGGCAACGACCTGTTAGTAGGATCATTTGAGACTAGATATAGCCAATGATTACCTTGAGTTTTAACACACATAGACATGAGGACTTCAGAGATGCAGAATAATTCTACAACGCATTTCACTTAAACAGCTTCTCAAAGTCTGTTAGTAAATCATGTACAATAAAGAATAGATACTTGTTTGTTTTAGGGAAGAGAGACTGCTTGGCAAAGACAGTTAATTCAATTATCACAGTCACAGTCAAGCTGAGTTCAGGTAGGAATGGGAAGAAAACAAGTGCACCAGTATAGGGTAGATATAATTCCAAAGATCAAATGGCTCGCCCTACACCAAAGGATGTGGTATACGCACAACCTTTCACAGATTAATTTCTTCCCCACATCCCATATTACATAAGGTAAGGCTTGCAAGTGTGCCGCTTTCAGGTACAGCACAAGAAATGAATTAATGTTTTTCAGTAGGTTCAGCAAGGCTCCTGAAGGTCCGAGACAACTACAGCAAACAGTGTCATACAGCTCCTTTCTTGCCAACTATAGCCACATTCAGAGCGTATTCTCAAATGAGCAGCCAGTCAGATAGTATGTTCCTTCTCCATACAGCTATTTGTTACTGCAGGTCCTGAACATTGTCAGGAAACGCCCCAAGTAGCTCAAGCATGTTTATTTGCTCACAGTAAAACCAGTAGTTTGTACTTGTACAGGCGAGCACAAGGACTGACGGGAGACACATGACTGGACAGCAATTTCAGAATCAAGGAAGAGAAACGTTTTCATCTCAGCAGAAAGTACAAGACTGCCTGAATAAGGATTTCAATCATTAAATAAGAGCAGTTAATTTGCCGTCACGGATAACAGCACTTGCTTGAGCAACAGAATAATGAAAAGTTCTTGCTAAGATACTGTAGAGCTGTATCATATATGAAATGTTTCATATATATGTTTATCACTCTTATGACTGGATATCCTGAATTGCAGGACCTGCAAATGAATCTACATGCACCTTTTGAATCCCAAGAATAAACCAGAAATCCAGTCCTATGAAGTGATAGATTATTTTCATATATATGTATCTAATGTGTGGCATGATGACAGATAAGAGATATTGCGCATTTAAGGAGTGAGGAAGGCAAGTAAGCACAGCAACACCAGAAGCTAATTCTAAAAGATAGTATTAGAAATCCTGTTTCTTTCAAATAAGGACATAAAGTCAGCCTACAAATAGGACAATAAATTATTTCATCTTCAGAGTGATTGCTTCCCACAGTGTTGAAGTTCGTGAACTCAGATGATCATTCAACTGTACAAAGAAAGCATGCAGAGAAGGCTGGCAGAAGGTGGCTCTGAAAGCCAAGCAAGGTGAATTGACTGCTAGTGTATCTCACAGTACCATTTCGTCTGTTATTTAGTCTCTGTGCAACCCTACAAAATAGGGATAGACCACCACAGGTAACAGAAGCTCTCAGATCTTGCAACAGCTGAAGTTGCTACATCAAGTGTTATCAGCATTTATATATTTTCAGATGCATGACATTAAGAGATGTCAAAATCAGAGATTCACTAAGTTTAGCTGACACCCTCCACTCAAGTTACACAAATCTTCTTCAACATAAACCATGGAAGTCACCTGAACAAGGTGTGCCTATGTGGAAAATGACCAGATTTTGTTTACACTAACTGCAAGTTGCTGGTAGTCCTACAAGAACTTCATCAAAAGTCTGAATGTCTCTTCTGTAGTCTTGTTTCTTTAATCAGAGATGGCCCTTGATGAATTCTCAGTCTTCCTGACTAAGTTTGTCTTGGCATTTAAGTTTTTTTTTCTTTCAGACTTTTTCCCCCACATTTTCCCAATTGTTGAAAGCTGAGCTGGGATTTATCAAGCACTTTGCTTTTGTCATTCCTAGATGGGTCACATTCCTTCCACACAATGGATGTACCAACATTTCCCAGTTGTTGCCTTGCTACCGAATAGGTTCTGAAATGAAAAATACACAGAAAGTCAATAAGGTTTATGCATAGTACACACCATACCACTTATATCAAGAATAATAGTGATTTTCTATATGGTTCTAAATATCAACTGTTACACCAAACTACTCAGCTTTGTAACAACTAGAGGAAACAACTGATACTTCGAGACTGTGCATTAAGACCAGGTGTTCCTCTTAAACAGAAGCAGGAGAAACATGGACAAGAACATGCTTGTAACATGTTCGTTTCTTGATCATAAACATAGTTTATTTCTCTCCATGTCTAACACAAGGTGCTAGGAGGAATAAAGCTCACTAAAGCAATTGGAGAACAAGGCAAAAGCCCACCACAGGAACAGCTGTATATCAAGTTGTATTATTTGTTGGAAGGGCAAAGCAACTAAGAAATGTGAAGGAGCTAGGGGTTTTCATTGTTGGATTTAAAAATTGAAACAACTGACACTAAGGTGAGAGAGCTTTGCTATATTAAAGCAACACAAGAAACTGAGTATGACAAACAGTACCTAGGCTGCTGAATATTAAAGGAGAAAAAATATATAAATATCACAAAGATATTTCACTGGTTTTAAATCGGAGTCTGGTGACCTGTAAAACAGCTTTTGGCTACATACTCCTCTATTAAGAACAGCATTATTTTCATTCTAATTTGACTAGTTAGCAGCTATTTCACTCAGTTAAGAAATCAATTGACTGGAAAAAACATGAAGGCTTGCTTAGCATCTTACAATTGACTACACCTACAGTTCTGAAGGGCATCAGGAACTCAAAGCAGGTCAGTTCTGGTTTTTAGGAAGTACTTTCTGTAGTTAATGAATTAAACAGAAACAATTTCCAAGTCTATTTCAGAAGATCTGGACAAAATTTAAGAAGCTTTTAATGTGTTAAGACTAACAAGCACTAGTTTCCAACCAGCACTCAAATTATACTAGCATCTTACTTTCAAAAACCAAAACAAAGCAAATGTTTGTCTATTATTGCTACTGACAGGAGGAAACTTAAGACATGCTAACTCAATTGACTGCAATCCCATGAACATATTCTGCACATGCAAATGTTAAGCTACGTAACAGATCAAGCCCATAGAAGTATATTTTCCTTGGTAGAAAATAAACCTGCAAGCTGGCACCTTCTTAGTTACAAGTAAATAGTGGTATATATGCGATGTGCATTTAAGATCTATCAAACTAATGGCACCGGCACCACTATAGTGTATAGCCAAACAATTTTATCAGACTACTTGAAAATCTCCTCCAAACCTTTCAACCAGAATCCCTGGATAGGGAACCTCTTCATTGCTCCTCTCCACAGACAAGTGATCGAACCACTAGAGAACTCGCGCTGGATTCAATACCATTGGCACAAATAGCAGTTTTCTATTATGCAATGGTCTGTAACACTCAGCTTTGCTTTAACATACATTTATTCGCAGTCCATTTTGCAGTAAGTATCCTGCACTGGTATCCACATTATAAACATGATGTACCTATTATATACCATGATGTACGTTGAATCCATAGTACTTACTATAAATTCTCCTGCAAAAATCTTGTTGCTTTGCTATTTTCTGCACTTCAGTATTTGAAGGGGTCACAACCAATACACTCCATAGTAGATATGAATTACAAAACTACTTAGATCTTTTCCCCAGAAGACTTAATACACAGAGCTAGGAACTATTTAGACACACCACACATAAAAACACATACCTGGTTCAGAAGGTCTGGCACACTTCAAAAGGGGGCTTCTTCAGACTTATTTGATGCTGCCATCAACTGTGTAGCTTGAAATTATTTATTCCCAAGATCCTGATAGGGTCTCTGTGCCACAATGTCTTTGTCTATGCCACAAAAGGAGTGTACTCCTCCACCTCCTCCATGCAAATCTCCTACAATTCAGCGATACAGCTTCAGCTCTACTCAAGAGCATCTTGTAGTCCACAGATGAAGAAATATCGAAAACATAATCCTTGTCCATTGTGAAAGAAGAAGTCTCCTTCCTCTCCTGGAACAGTTGGTGTGTTTCATTCCATTTGGAGCACTCATTCTAGCTTTCCTCCCAAAACTGTTTTACTGAGCAAACTGTATCCAATTCAGCAAAATATCTGCATATCCAATCATACTCCAGATTATTCCGCATTAAAAAGTCCAGCTGTGGCAGTATCCGTATTTCAAAGAATTCAAATACCCAAAGGCAGTGAATAGTATGCTGATTCTGTGATTTTTCAGATATATTCCACAAACTTCCAGTAAGAACCGGCAGAGATGAATCGAATAGTTGTTGGCAGATAAACTAGTGCAATAAATCCAGGTAAATGAAATGACTTACACAGACAAGGAAACTCCAGAAATCTTACGTTGTATCAGAAGAGTAAAAGTTTGCTTGTTCTATGGAAAGTACTATATAGCATGTGTCATCTACAGCAGGTATCCCATGTGAAGACTAATCTGGCTGATGACAGGTGGATCTTCCTTGCAAGACATACAGCTCAAATATTGCAGCAAATTTGCACAATTTGTTAACAAACATACGTTGCTATGGGAACGCCTTCAGGCTTGCAGAGGCATCCAAACACAGATTAGCAGTGATAGCTCTAGTGTAGCCAAAGCCCAAAAGAGCAGCAAGAAATATGACTGGAAGTGCTTATAGAATACTATGGCACTGAATAAGTATAGTGAGATCAAGTAAGATTACTTGGGAGTCTGAAAAGGGAGCTGTAATATGAGACAGGAAGCCAACAAAGGCATCAACTACGGATAGGATCACAATTAAGTAACAGAAGAAAGAGGGGACATAAGTAGCTGTGATTACAAAAAGAGGAAGGCCAGGCAAGAAAGTTATAATCAAGGGAAGTTGTTAGAGCTAAAGAGAAGAAGATATTGAGAAAGAATTTTATTAAACACTGAAGACAAGGAAATAAAGAGGTTAAGCAAAACACTAAAAGGAGGAGGAAAATAATTCAAAAGAAAAAGGAGGCAACTTAGTGAAGCTGAACTTCATAGTTGTGGCCAACCAAAGTATCAGCCAGACATGAATTAAGAGACAGGGAAGAATTAACTGTGACTCAAAGTACTACCTTTAAGCATTTGGCAACAACAGCAGAATACCAGACAAATAGACCAAAGCATTTAAAAATCTAGGCTAAAAGTTTAACACCATTGGATATATTTTCCAAAGGTTTTACAAGTTTAGCATCCAGAAAAGTATGGACTAAAAGCTCCAGTGCCATAAACAAAACAAGCAGGTGCTTTATAAGCTTGCCTCAGACAGCTCTGATAATTTAGCTGAACCTTGGTCTCCAGCAAACCCCTGAGTGCTGGAATCCTCACTGTCCTTCCTGAAAAGAGTGTCAATGCATGAGCACCCCAACTCAAAGGTTTTGGGGTGGTGGGTTTTTTTTTTTTTTCAGTTCTCTCAGCATCAGTATGCCTTGGTTCTGATCCACAGCTTCCCCTATTAATCCAGTTCTGAATTTAACAAACCAGTACTAGCCAGTGTGCAACAGCTTCGACACATATGCAGGCAGAATCTGAAAGATCCAACACCTCACCCTTGATCTAGGCCATGACTAGACGAACGTTTTCCTGAAGGAAAAGGATGTCTGTGGTACCAACACAATGCAAGAGCCTTGTGATAAGTGCAAGACAAGCCACTGTTCCAGGATATTTACCTTTCTGCAAGCAGGACAAAGTCCATTCTCATCAGTGCGGATACGATGCCAACAGAAACGACAGATTTGGTAGCCACAGGTGCAAGGGAAGAAGTTGATGTCATCAATTTCCAGAGGCTCCATGCAAAGGGGACATTCCACAGGGTCTTCCTTAGCATCAGGGCTGCGAGACATCTTTATATGTTCGCAGAGCAGCAAAAGTTTATAATAACTTAGTAGACCGAGAAGGTCAGCACTTGAAGGTCTGCAAGAGGGGAGAAGAGGAAAAAAAAAGAATGATTAGTGCTTCTGACAATCCTTCTCTTACGCTTTTTATTTATTTTAGTTCTTCACCGCTTTCCTTCTACCCATGCAAATTGCCTACTAACACACAAGTTACTCCCTAAGAAATTCAAGTGTGTCTTCCTACTTATGAGCCACACAGTAATACGAAAGATGGTACTGGCGATGTGTCTCCCTGTCTGGATAGGCAAGCACTTCTTTAGCAAACCACTAGCCTGTTTGGATTTCAGACCATACAGTTGCAGAGAAATGCTGGGTGTACACCATACATTGCTTCTAAGTTCAGCCAGGTTCTTTAATTATTGCTTTCTTGAAATCTTCTACAAATCCAAATTCAAATCCTTGAATGCAGGACTTGATGATTAAGATCAATTTATTCCTTTGATCAGAGACTTGGAACAATGCGAGATTTGGACTAACATTTTATTCATACATTCAGACTTTTCAGCCGGGTTACAGAATCGTCAAACAAAACCAAGGAAGGCTTCTTACTGAGCATTCATTTCTTTGTCCATCTTATTATTATTTGGTCCAGAAACTGATTTCCAAGATCAGCTTTAGGACTATAGCATTAGCCAAGATTTGTCAGGTACACAGCTTTCTGTGTGTCAAAGCTTTCATCACATTTATGCTTTTCATCAGCCTCCAATTCACACCAAAGCCCAAATATCTGCATGTGGCTGAAAAAGAACCCCTTAAGTTTTAACTTAAGGGTGTAGCCATAACAAGGTATTTCTGGATCAGAATTTTGAAGAGAACCAAAATTCGGGTCACCACTTTAACTCATTTCTTGAACTCGGTCATTTGAACATGCTTCTGTCAGTTTAAGAATGCAGTACAAGAAAATTACTTTCAGACTCAAAATAAGGCACATACGGTTGTCACCAAGATACTAATCACTTAAGGGGTTTTCTTTTTTTCATGAGAACATGTATATAGATGGGACAGAATTCAAGGGCAACAGTAGTGGACGTTCATGGGAGGAAAATGGGGAGAGGAGGAAGAAGAAACCCACTGAAAAAGATGGGACTAGAACTGACAGTTGGATGGTCATATTATCTGTAATGAACTACAGCGCTTTTTCCACAGTAAGTGAGCTCAGAAGTTTTTTAAAAAAATCCAAAATTCTTTTTACAATTACACCTTTCCCACAACATCAGTCACACAATCACAATTTAACCACACAATCTGTTGTCCCCACTACTTTCCCCAGAGAGTTTTCCATTTCATTTCTAACCAAAAACTAGTAGATCATATACTATCCAGTCTTTCTCCAGGCTTTTAGGAGCAAGTCCAGAAACAAATTCTCACATCCACCTACTTGAAGAGTTACATTTACTCTTGCACTTGAAGATGACTGAATGTTTCGAGATCAAATCCTTACTCAGAGATTTCTGTATGTTGTAGGGTTAGCCTTACATATAACAACCACAAACAGTCCTGTTCACAGTCTTTTACACTCTAAACCACACTTCCTTACATGAAGTCTATCTTGTAAAGCCTAAGAGGTTCCAGTTCAAGTTGGAACCTCCTACTTGACAAGAATAGGATCTGTTTAGCATCAGTCTGCAATACTTGTAGAGATGTGCAGGTGAGGGACAAGTACAGCAGCCAGGAGAAAACCCTGAAGAGGAACACAGGCAGAGTATATAGCTTTGTACAGAAATGGTCATATTGCAGGTAGGTTAACCTGTGTTCACAGGCTGATACCAGAAGCCTGGACTAACTGCTATTTCGATTAGTTTGGTGCATGAAGTGCAGTTCTGGTAAACATATACCACCACTGCTCTAGAGAAAAATGTTCCACTGGATGTACATATAAAAGTAAGGATGAGAGAATGGATTTTAGATACAGTAAACATAATTTCTCTCTATGGCATGCAGTAGCAATGACACTGTCCTCTCCTGGCCTTCACAATGACTACAATTTAAAAAAAAAATTAAAAAACAAAACAAAACAAAAAAAACCCAATTACACAGCAGCTTTTACTTCATTATCAAATAATCTACAATCATTTTGACAGGCTCAAAAACAGGTCCTGGGACTTTAACAGTGTTTTCTGCAGAGTAAACTAGCAGAATCTGACCTGAAGGAAGGAAAGAATTTGTTTGGGAGCTTTGTCTTAAGAGCAGATTCCCACTGTCTGAAGAGTGGGAAGGACTGTTAAAAGGCCACACAGCACATTATTTAATGACTTATTATGCAGATAACACATTTCTACAGCAACCCTTACATTTCCTGTAAACTTTTCACACTTGTATAGTAGCAAAACCATTACAATATGAAAGTGACTTTAAGCCAAAGCACAGGATAAACTGAACAGATTTTGTTCCACTTAGATTTGGATTTGACTTCGTCGCAGATCTCCAAACGATCAGTAAGCAACAGCATATCCCCTTTGACTGTGTAGTCGCTCCACCACATGCTCAGCAGCTTTAGGCCTACTGAAACACATCTAAATAAAGCTATACTAGTACTAGTGAAGCTGTAGTTAAAAGCATGGTTTTGAAGAAACTTGAGACACCACCGTAAAACTACTGAATTATGAAGTCACTATTTGGAATTTCTGAAAAGTGTGACATATTAGCTAGTGCCTCTGGGATGTGCAGACAAGCTCTAACAAAACTGCAGCATGATTAACATTTGTGAGCTGTTTAAGTTAACACTAAGAGTTCAGCAGCTGCTAGCAATAATGCCAATATCTTGCTTCAGTCAGCAAATGGCCCGTTATTTTACAACAAGGAGAAAAGAGCAGCTGTGTGCCATGTTTCTTGAAACTAAGTAAGAGGCAGTATTTATTTACTTGGGAAAAGACCATTCAGGCATCCCATTTAGAAATTCTTCACTGAAGTGTGTCTCCGTTTCAGGAGGGTTTATATATCAGGGTTTGTGTCTCAACTCTGCATCAGAACAATGCTTGCTGGTTTGTTTTTTTTTCAAACCCAGAATAACACACATAGTAAGGCATCATTAATGCACTGCCTATACAGCACTACCAAGAAACACAGAGTAATGAGTCAGCTCTAAAGCTACTTCAAACAATTCAGTACTAACATCACAGAAAAGTAACACAGCAATGGCAAAAAATAAAAGGTAGTATTACATGCTGTGTTTAATTCAGAGCATTCAGTCTTTGGGATCAAGTTCAAAGACATGAAATTAATAGCATCTCAGAAGAGGAACAGGAGGAAGATTGTGCACATGTACATACACGATACAAGTAGCCAGGCTGCATCCGTACGCTTTCCAAGACACCAACAACTGCAGTCAAACAGGTCCCTGACAACTCCACATCCTGTTTTCAGGAGACTCTGCCAAAACATTCATGCACACAGGGATGGAGCAGAGGTGGACAAGGTCCAGCAGCATCTTTCAGATATAGTGTATTTGTAATAGGTAATGACCAAAATACAGAAATTAACAGTTGTGTGTCTTATCCTTTCCACCATACCAACTAAGAATTCATTTCCAAACACATATGCAGAATGAAAAGATAATTTTTCATTAACTTTTAAAAGTGCTTACTTCGTGAACAGCTGTGTCTAATCAGTTTCACTGTACAATTGTTCGTCTTGATGAAATCCTCCAAATTTCACAGTTGAGAAAGAGAGATCCTACTATTTGAGTACCCTCAAATAGTAGGATCTCTCTTTCTCTACTAAACACAATTTTACTTTTAATATAGCTAGTGATTTCAGTCCATTGAAGATGCAGACATTGCCTTTCCCTTTTTCATTTGAGGTGAGCAAGTTTAGCTTCCAGTAATTTAATTTATCTTCCCTATTTAATTTT